ATCTAGTGGCTACAATCCTGGGCCTCTTGAGCTATCATAATGTCACTGATAAAATTTATAGATCAAATATATACCAACCTGACGGTGTACTTTTGTTTTTAAACACACTTTGTTGGGATAGCTAATTCACTTTAAAAGGATTCTGCAGCCCCATAACTGCTTCATCATAATAAAGTAGTTATAGGGGCTGGTGCCCCATGGTTGTGTCTTTGGGTGAACATCCACCTGCTCCCTCTCTCCTCCTCAAAGCAGCTGCACTGAATAGGAAGGATTGGCTTGGCTTGGGTCTGGTGACTGGCTGAGAATGTTCGTTGATGCTCTTGGCTTATCATTGCTTGCTTGGTGCAAGTAACGTTATGTACTATTTCTTCATTCCTTGTGCATAAACCAAATGTTCTACATCACGATTAAAGCTTCCTACTTTGAGAACAAATACTATATAACATCTTAATGGTTTTTTTTTTGGTTTTTTTGCAGGATGTTATCTGCGGCGTTATGATTGCCTTGTTGTTCTTGGCCCTGACATTCCCGATGTGGGATTCAGCAGATGAATTACTTTTGACCAACCCCATCTGTCCAGTACTCGCAGTTATTGTTGGTTTTCTTTTAAGCTACACCTACCCAAAGATGGATCATTACAGCACCACCAGAGCGGACACGGTTACAATTTTGGGATGTGGATCAGGGATTGCTGTAGGGACTTGGCTCGGTCATTATTTGGGGATGACCTACAATCCTTCTGGACCATTTCCCCTTAGCATCCCACCCATCACTACAAATATGTTATTAGTGCAGTTAGCAAGATTTGTGCTCGGAGTAAGTCTCCTCGTTTTAACACGGTTTGCGGCTAAAACACTGTCCTTAAAAATTCTTGGCTCATGGTATAATGTTCCCACACAGGACAAATTGGTTAGACAGCGTCTGGAAATCGAAGTGCCCTACAAATTTGTTACCTACACTTCTCTTGGTGTTGTTGCAAATACATTGGTCCCGTGGTTGTATCAAGTATTCAGATTATAGTTGTTTAGGATAGGGTTTAACAGAATTAATCTGTGTCTATCAACTTTACGTTACAGATTAACATATTTCTAAAAAACAAAACAAAAAACTTTACAGATTGTGGGTCTATCAAGATAAAGCACATTGCCGTGAGTTGACAAAAACCTTTAAACAAAATACAATATTTATTTCTAACTCTTTCAAACAAAACTGTATCCGTTGGTTATCAACCGCTACACACTCTTTAGTGAATAGAGCTGGAAAACATACCTGTTTAGATTATGCATTATTTGTCACACACCTATATCAATCAATCTGCTCCATGTCATATTCAGCACAGGAAAAGCTTTGAAACCTACAGCAGCAATGAGTCAAATAGCCTATATATAATAGTCACATACAGCATCAGTCTAATACCTCCTCTAATATAATGTTATATGTTCATATGGAGCAAATGATAAGTTTTGTAAAAACGATTGTCCTGCTTCTGATCTTTAGTTCTTAACTTATTCAGGAAATGTCTTGGTGCACAGAATTTGGCAGCAATATTTATCTATAATTTATATGAAGTTTGTGTGTTGCTAATATAATCTTTTGCACCATAAGCTAAGACAGGACACCTTACCTCTACCTTCAGTGGTTTGAAGACTACGAAATAACAAAAGGGGGAAACAAAAAAATATCAAACTGGAACAGCCATGGATTTATCAATTGTTCTTTTATTATTCGATTGTATATATTTATACAGGTTGTTACAACTTTTTGCCCCAACATGGTAAAGCATTTGTATTTATAATTTTTTTTCTTTGAAGAGATCCTAATAAAAATGGGGAATCTTTCAAGGTAGTATGGAGGTAACCGCATTTTTACCATTTCCTTAAACAGAAATCCAGGACCAAATTGCAATATATTTATACAAAACTCCCCTTTTATTATCTAAGTGTCAGAATTGCTTTTTGAAATTATGATTCGTGTAATGTTTGGTTTTTCTTCTAGCTAAGAAAAGTCACCAATTATATTTCATACTGTATACCGTGGGACTGTGATAATAAACTACTTTACTACAAAATTTAGTACAAACGTTGCCAAATGAGAGGTGGAAAAAAAGTTTACAGGTGCAGATAGTTACTTATATGCAGATAGTAAATGTTCCAGAATCTATGAACTAAAATTAATTCTGCCACTTTTGTACAAATCACCCCGTATTATAAGCACTTTGAATATATTTTTTATTAGATTAGATATCTGCCATTTTAAACCCTAAAATATTAGCAATCATTGCTAACATGGAACAAATCCATTATTATTTTGTGTTAAACAGTGATCTATTAATGTCTGTCTGCAGCCATAATAGTAGGAGTGTTAAAATTATGGTTGCCAGTGTCTGACCTTTCGCGTTGTACACTGCTGTGATATCATCCGCCCACGTTCGGTGCCGCAGATAGGAGATTAACAAATAAGCAGCCGGTTTAGTGTATAGATCACACTCCTGTAGTCTCAATAACTGTGCATAAACAAATGCCATCAAACGTCAATGAACTGAAGCAACATTGTAAAGGAGAGTGGGCCAAAATTCCTCCACAACAATGTGAGAGACTGATAAAGTCATACAGAAAGCTATTACTTTAAGTTATTGCTGCTAAAGGTGCTTCTGCAAGCTATTGAATCATAATGTGTACTTCATTTTTCAAACATGACTTGTTCATGTTGGCTTTATTTTTGTTAAATAAATCATGACGTGGTGTAATATGTCATTTGTGATGCATCCGAGTTTGCATTTCACTAATTTTAAGACCTGCTAAGTAACAGATGATTGTTATTCTGTCCTGATATTTAAAACCATAGAATTCAAAGAGGGTTTACGCCAATGACTGTACTACTACCTTGATATTTATATTCTCGTGCACGCACATAAAGTGTATTCTTTTAAATATATTGTGATATGCAAAACATTTATAGTTATTTGTTTGGTAATCACATCCCTGAGCAATGAATACTAGGTTTTAATTGTCACCATGGGTCCGAGATGGCTGCTGACAGACATTACTATATCATTTTAAACAAAGCGTTTTTGTTCTATATATGGTTAATAAAAAAATCCATAACACCTTACGTTTTACACTTTGCCATGGAATGCTCTGCTTATTTAGCAGCTGTTCAATCATTAATTGAGCAGATTATTCTACTTTGGAATATGATTTCTAAAGAGCAAGTGCCACTTCTCAGGATTTTTAATATTCTGTTTACTGATCCTCTATATTTAACAAATCTGTACTAAAAGGGTTTGAAAATGAACTGTAGTCAACCAATCCCTTTTTATCCTGCAACTAGGAGGTCCATCGTAGCTCCCTCTCACTCATAGTTATAAGCTCCTTCCTTTACACCTGCCAGTCAGCATGCAACAGGGGATTTCAAACTCTGCTCTCCTCCTGAAGGTTATAAAATTAGAGGAAAGCAACAGCTGTTCAGTGAATCATGGGAGTTGTAATCCAGCAACATTGAGGGGGAGGGGGACGACGACAAAGTTTAAGATGCCTGCAGTATAAATAGTATACACACAAGAAGAGAAACTACTTCTATTTCTGCTCATTTGCAACGTTTGCCCTGACAGTGCCTTGATGGAACTGGATACTGATTTAATTTATGAAATTTTAAATAGTCCTTTAAAACGAAACTGTGAATCATGGGGAGTTAACAGGAATTTTAGGTGATTTAAAATGTTTTATTAAACTGTGTTTCCAGAGATTTGACAGTCTGTTCCTTTAAGCAAACCTAGAAGATAATCCTCTATATAGTTATTTCTAGGCAATTGGTTCACTTTAAATTATTAGTCTAGTGAGGCCCCAACCAATGACCAGGCTACACAAATGTGAACTTTATAGAGAAATAAATCAAAAGTTCTTGGCTGTCTCTCTATAAAGCTTTATACAAACTAGTCCTTAATACACACTCGAGAACTATTTTTTACTGAAATTGTAAATCTTCATAGTATTAACCAATCACTGCACTGATTTTGCTGCTAGGTAGCACATGGATTTATTTTTGTTCAATAAAATAAATTTTAAAAACCCTCAGACTAGGATCAGGCTGAAATGAGGACACATTTATTAAGCCATCGCTGTGCTTTTTCTTAAAGTGGATTTTGCCGTTTTTATAAATCCACGTTGTCTGACAGCCATATTGTGGGAAATTTAATTTGCAGACCTCTTGGGTGTCAATCCAGGTCAAACCAGGATGAGATCCAATTCGAACCATGAACATGAAGTCCCAGTGGGTTTGATCTATTGATAAACTAACTTCACATCCCATAAAACCTTGCTACTTCCACTCAATGAGTGTGATTAAAACATTTAATTCTCGATTTGTAATATTCAAAACAGAAAATTAATAATTCGATGCAAGAAGAAAACATGGCTGTTTTTGGATGCAAAGGATCGATGTTCTACTTTGACTTTATAAATATCAGTACTTGAACAAATAGGCTGCAAAAAATCCCCCATATACAGTCTGAATAGTTTATATTGTTTGTAATGTTATAGTAGTACCAGAATAGAGGGGTTTTCCATTCAACAGGACATTTTAAATGTGACCATTTAAAATCCATAAATTTGTATTTCGGATATTGGCTAGATTTACGTACAATGTATGTGTGTTCCAAGCCTCCAGTGATTTATGAAGACATGATAATCTGAGTGCTCTGAAGACGGCATGTGGAGGTGATTAAATCACATAGTGTTAGATATTTAAAAGTGTTGTTAGTTAATATAAGTTTTGACTGTCCAAACACTGCATTGAATGAGTAAATGTTTCTTTGGCCCAGATTAATGTTCTCCTTTGGCCATGGTGAGAAAACTGATTGAATTTTTAAAAATTTTTTAAACCACTGGAAAAATGTTTACAAGATGTTCCACTTTGAATCTGCAAAATTATTATTTTTTTTTAATTAAACATGAAAACTTGTGATTGCTTTTGTTTCTTTATTTCCTTACGTGTAATGTGAGCTGAAATGGTTGATTAACTGTTGCAAATACTTTACTTTTTCTTCATCCACAACAAGAGAGAGCATGATAGGAAACTGATAAATGTTTCCAATAAACATCCAAAGGCTCGTTTTTCCCTCATTACAGTAAACACAGCTAGAAGTGGTAGTCCATTCACATATTAAAAAAAAAAAAAAAAAATTTAAAATTGAATGGATACTATAATGCCAGGAATACAAATCTTGAAATAGATCAAGGGGCAAATACCAAGTAAGAATGACAATGAGTCAAACACCAGATGTAGCTCACTTTAATAAATACCCATGGGTTATTTTTAACAAATATAGCTCGTTACAAAGTTAGAGGATGTTGTATTGCAATTCAGTCAATGTGATACATGAATATAGTGAAACTATAGAGACAAGGGTATACATAGCACAATTCTGGAGAATGTATTGTGCTTCTTTTGTAACAAATTTACTGTGAGAATATTTCGAAAAAGCAAACCCGGAGAAAAGACCAAGGACAGGCACACGACAGAGGAATATACCATTGGTTTCCATTGTAACTACTTTAATTTTAGATCTTTGCCCCAGAATTGTGTTTTTATCGATAAACCCTAAAAGCTATGTGTGTAAAAACTGTACCACCAAAAAAAAAAAAAAAAAAAAGGGTTTTCACAAAAAGGGTTCTACTGTTATTTCAAGAGCAGAGCATGGTAGGGTAAGGTCAAACTTTGTGATGACGTCCGGATGTAAGACACCCAATTTTCCGATGCTGCGTCCGTCAACCAGGATTTCAGCACAACGTCCCGGAAAGAAAGCGGAGTCTGAAAAACAATATTGAACCACCGAGATTATTTAAACAGTCCAATAATTATCTTTAAGCATTTACCTAAATTTTACAAGCTGTGTTTTAAAATGTTTAAAAATGAATATGGGCCCATATATGCCAGTCGAGGAAATTGTAATACATCTCATTGACAATCACAGGTAGTAAAACTATATGCTATACAGTCCATTAAAAGCTTTTCTTGTCATCTTAAAGTAATCTGAGGGCACATGGTATGCTAAATTGCCACATAATCAGCTCATAAACCAAGTCCACAAAACCAAAATGATGCATACGGGCCACATGTATTTCAGTCATCAGTCATTTCCAGAACATAAAAGGCCATACGGGGATGCTTTGTTTTTTTTAATGATGCATATAATGTGGTATTTAAAGCTCGATATAACAAGCATCCAGTGTATCCAGGCTCACACATAAAGGAGAAAAAACACAAAACGTGAGATATTCAGCAAACGGTGCAGGTCTATGCAAGAAATGCAGTGACCCAACTAAAATGATTGCTGTACTTTATTACCACAAGCAGAGCTGTGAAATTACCAAATTATACACATATAGCCATAGCTGTGAAATGGGCTTAGGAACCTCCTGCATTAAATGATCATTCCACCTTGAGCATCCACAATGTCAATTAGCAAATTCAGCTAATTAGAGACAAGGCAACATTGCATGGCTTGGTGGGGGATCTTAAAATAGGATGAACCAGCCCACATATTACGCTCACCATTCCCTCTCTGCAAAACAAAACCTTAGGGGAGACCGACAGAACTTTCGTGAATTTCTAAAATAGCTGATTTGGAGCATTATTTCAATTCAGTTATTTGAAATTCACAGAGTGAATACCCCTATTAGATGGCTTGTCTGGTTTCTAAAAGGCAAATTAAAAGGAGAAGCATAAAATTATTATTAATGTGTTGCCTTATTTTGGGGTGTTTGACATTTTCATGAAAGTCTGGAATGGTAAGCACATATAATAGAGGGAATTATAAGGAGTTGGTTCTGACAACTTTTTTTTTTTTTTTTTGGACTCCGGTCATGGTCTCCGCATAAAAAAGTAAAATGTTACAGAAGAAGAAAAAAAAACAACATATGCATGTCATAAAACATTTACAATAGTGCATAACAGACAGGTAAACTCGCATATAGTGACGTTGGACCATGAGCTGAGGGAATTTAATTTTGGGTAGTGGGAGTCAACGCTTATTCAGAAGCCTAGTGTGCCTGGAGGTATGGTCTTATAGCCGGTGGGTCCAGCGTTGCCAGAGGCTTTTAGGCTGATTGTGCTACTAGTACAATGAGGGTTCTGTTTGCCAAACTAGGTTAGATAGGGATAGGGAGCTCCCGCTTTGAAGTATACCCCATTGGAGGGTGGTTGGGCGGGAGAAGGTGACGTTCTAACTACCTACGAACAAGAACATTGGAGAGAGAAGAGTCCCAATCGCCGAAAACAGCATGCCCGTGTAACCAGAGGGCTGTAAAGAGGTAAATATCAGATAGCTATTAATCCTGGAGTTCTTCAGGTGACGGTCGCTGTAGATGTTCCCGCTCCAGCCCCTCGGGGGACGAATGGTGTCGCTGTCGTAGGATCACTTGCTGTTGGCCGTGCCACTGGGTGGGTTAGTCCTGCAATAGATAGGGTGTCCTGTTGCATCCCCAGGGTTGGCAAGAGATCTTTGGCCCCTTGCATGTCTTGGATCTTAAATGAAGTTTAGCCATGGTGGATCAAAAGTGCCCAGGGTCACCTCCATTGGTATATAATATTATGTAGGCGAAGGAGAGCCATGAAGAATTTCATCATGCAGTGCCAGGCCAGAGTCGGCCCTGATAAAAAAAAAAAAAAAAATCAGCATAGAATAAGAGCTGCCTACCCTCAAAACACATATGGCGTCTGGGTTCTTGTCGCTTGAAGGACTGCTGATCTGTCTCCGTGGCTCAGGAGGCGCACCAGGAGGTCTCCCGGTGCTGCGGCAGGGGCTTTAGCTGGATGTGGGAGGTGGAACATCCTTCCCCAGGGCTGCTTGTTTTGAGGGCAAGAGAGCGGCCAGCAGACGCCGTATGAAGTGCGGTACCTCCGCCTCCGGTATCTCCCCACCGATGCCCCTGATCTTGAGGTTCAGGCTTCTCCTCCGATCTTCCAGTATTGAGAACCGCAGGTCCGTTTTGTGAGTCTGCTGTTGCAGGTCTTGCACTGCTTTGTGTAGCTGTGCTGTGTCTTGCGTGTTTCAGGGAGTCTGCTTCCAGCATGGTCAGGCTTTGCAGGTGTCCGCGGATCTGGGCCATGTCAGCTTGTATGGTGAGTTGAAGCCCCGCTAGCAGTTCTTTCCTCACCGCTATGGTCACGGGAGATGTGTCTGCTTGAGGGTGAGTCTGGAGAGGAGCTGTCAAGACGGGTGAGTGGTGTAGTTCAGCCCCGCTTGTGAAATCATCCGATATTCCATAGCAGTCATCGGCGTAGTCAGCCATCTTTGTGCCCATGTTGTTGCAAGCTTGCTGCCATAGGTCTGCGATATATGTCCGCTCAGGCGAGGCTTATCGGGCTTGGGCTTTTTAGTTTTTTTGGCCCATCTCTTCACTCCTCGCTAGCAGTGCTGGTTGGTGCAGTTTGTAAGGGGTTTGTGCAGTGTTAGAGGGTCTAATGTGGTTGTTTGATACAGAGCTTCGATTGCATGCGGCCATTCAGGTCCGTGGCTTGGCTCTGACAAATTTAAACATAGTGTTTCTTTAAATATCCACAATGTAAAATTGTAAAGTGTTGAGGAAAATTATGGCACTATATTATAACAACAACAACAGCAGCAGCAATTATTAAATCCACTTGCCAATTCTCCAAGATTCCTAGTTATTTTTAAACCAGTTGGTCTATTGGAACATCATTTCAGGGTTATGCCCTGAAATGATGTTCCAATAGACCAACTGGTTTAAAAATAACAATAGCTTACTGCTTATATACTAGCTGAGTATGATTGGATTTGTACTTTCAAATTGAGGTCTCACATTGCTCAAGATTCAGCTTCTCCTACACCTCACCAATCATTTATTACACATTATGTGACAACCTACAACTTCCAGTTCTTTTGGAGTCAACCAGTTCAAGGCCTTTTAACCGTGGTCTGGAGCAATAGGACAGTATTTTACACAACATGCCCGACAGATGTGTCCGTTGTAGCTCACCAACAACCTCTGGTCTGAATTTTATAACATGACAGGAGGCTTCCTATTTTGCATTAACTCTCTTTACTAAACTCCACAGCAGTAAAGAAAAACATAAAGAGTAACAAATAAATCACTGAGCAGCATAGTATATAAGGGTCATGCTGCCTGTACACTTCCTCTTTCTTTACTGCTCCATCGCAGACAGGTCAGAATATCTGCTCCTCTGGAGCTTTATACATTTATACATTTATACATTTATTGTCATTATCTATTTGTTCCATTCTATTGTTATTATCACTATTATTACTTTAATTTATTCCCTTTTATTTCTGTTCTGTACTGGGCTGTGGGACTAGGGGCTCTCTGTGGGTTTCTATACTCTTATCTGCCCCTCTGTTTATTTTGGGACCTTCCCTGGGCCTCCCCTCAGTCTCCCCAGGTCCCCCCACTGCCCCCCTAACCTGGAGTGCCCTCCTGGGCTCCCTCCTTGCGGCCGGAATCGTTCGCGGCCGTTTTCGCGCCGGCCTGCTTCCGCCCGCGGCCGGCCTCAAAATTTAGTCCCCGGCTTGCGGCCTACACTCGCGGCCGCCATTTTGGATCGCGGACATCGCAAGATTCCCGCGGCCACCTTAGTTTTGCCTCGTGCATCTCATTGGGGACTCAGTGTGGCTGTGCTAACTTGCTGTTACCTCTGCATTGCTGTTTTTCACACCTTTTGTGTCTCACACTGTGACTGAAGGATTACCTGCTCAGCACTCCATCTAGCTGCTATCACTCTGCTACTCAGCCTCTGTGCCTCATCTGCTTCTATCAAGCTATATCCTGTGGCTGGGTCAGTCAGGTCAGTGCTGCTGCCTGTTTATTATTACTGTGACCTGCACTTAAGGGTCCCAACCCTGTGCAACCGGGGTGAGCCCCCACTATAAATACGCTGCTTACTGGGAGACTAGCTGTTGCAGTTCTCTCTAACTGGGTGAGCCCCAGTTTATAAGGTCACTACTATACCCTGCTGGGGTTATTCTGGGCTTGGTCCCACCATACTATCAAATCTGACCCTACGCCTATTATCAAGACCTGGGTGCCCGTTTATTGCTGTGCCTTTCAGTGACGTATCAGCCTACCCTAACATGGAAGTTTCCCAGAATGTCCCTGTGGACTTCCAGGCTATGATTAACGCAGCTGTCGCTGCCTCTGTGGAGAAGGCACTCTCCAAGGCCCGAGCTCCGGCTCCTGACGTACCAAAAACCCGCAGACGTACACGCCACGAATCGGATTCCGACTTGTCCGACTATCAGACAAGGGATGACTCCCGCCCTAAAAAGCGCCATGACAAAGGCGAGGATTATGCACCAAACCGCCTAAGGGTAAGGCACCTGCCAAGCGCAAATCTGCCAAACTACACACCCCGGCCCCGCGTCAGGAGTACTCTTCAGATGAAGAGCAGGGCCCTGCCCAGTCCATGTCAGTGCTGGATGAATGGCAAGCTGACGCTTGTGAGTCGGACTACGACGCATGGGGCTCGGACGAGAAATCTGTCTCCGCTTTCATGCGGGAGACCCTCCTGGGTGCTGCCCAGACTGGAGGTGTTGAGGACACTGCGGACGCAGAACCTCCTCTAGAATCAGACACCATTTTGGACCCCTCAGGTCAGGCGATGTTCGACCCCTGCAACATATGGCACCCCAGATCGGGTGACTGGTCACCTCCAGAACACCTTTCCAGGTTTATGCACCTGTGGCTCCGCAAACCTCTGGAGAAGGAGGTCCGCAGCCGACTCAGGTCTGAATGCCCACGCCCTTCCCTGCCGGATAAGGTCGCTCAGACCCCTGAATTTGACAAGGTCATGTCGACCTTCATGATGCGCAGTGGTAGAGACCCTCGCTGAGGGGTAGAGAAAGGCCTATGGGGCGCCCAGGATAACCTGCTGGATTCCGTAGGCCCCCTGGCTCGCATTATGTATCTGGCACATGATGCCTACGCCAAAGCCGACTCCTTCTCTGCCGAGGACATCAGGGAATGGGCACATGACGTTCGTGAATGGGCACAACGGTGTTTTGTTTCATTGGAAACACTAATGTTACGCTCTCTTCGGAGAGACGAAAAGCAGCGTTATACCGTATTAACGGTAAATTGGCAGACCTTGGCACAAAGGAGATTGGGCCCCAGGCACAAGGAAAACTATTTGGCAAACCGTTCCTCAAGGAACTCAATAAACACGTAAACGTGTTCACCTCCCTTAATAAGGCGCAATCCTCTATGCGCAGAGTTTTCAGGAGCAACCCTACCAGAGGGGTTTTTGGAAGGGCTGGCCGGCAGCGGGGCCGTGCCGCCAGCCGCTTTTGGCCTTCAGGCCCCAGCACCCAACCAACACCGTCCTACCCGACAAGGGACTATCGGCAGCAACCCTTTTCCAGAGGCTCGGATAGAGGTCGTGGACCCCGCGGACGCGGGCGTTCCCGCTTTGCTGCAGGTAAGGACCCATATTCCTCCACTGTTACCATGCACCCGCACTGCGGGCCGTACTTCCCTTTCTTTCCAGAATTGGGCCGCCCTATGCTCAGACACATGGATCCTACAAACAGTACAGGGATATATCATAGACCTAGTGGGGACCCCCCTTTCAGGTTCAGCCCCTCGCCCCATCCACATGTCGTCCTCCGACCACAACCTCGTCAACGCGGAGCTACGCGAGCCCCGAGACAAAGGGGCCATCCAGCCGGCCCATGACGAGGGTGGTTACTTCAGCAACATCTTCCTGGTTCGGAAAAAGTCAGGAGAATACCGACCGGTCATCAATCTACGCGCCCTCAACGCACATGTGGTCTATCGCCACTTCAAGATGGAGGGCATCCACCTCCTGCGAGACCTTCTTCGAAGCAACGACTGGTTCACCAGGCTCGATTTGAAAGATGCATATCTGTCAGTCCCGGTGCACCCGGACTGTCGAGCACTCCTACGTTTCCTCTGGCACGGACGCCCTTGGCAATTCACTTGCCTCCCTTTCGGGCTCAGCTCAGCCCCATGGTGCTTCACCAAGCTTCTAAAACCAGTGGTGGCCCACCTGAGATCCAGGGGCAGTCGATACATCATCTACTTAGACGACCTTCTCCTTTTCTGCTCCGACGAACACAGACTACGCCAACACACTCACTTGGCAGTGTCCCTACTGGAATCTCTGGGTTTCGTGGTAAACCAACCCAAATCGGAACTGACCCCTACTCAGACGATACAATTCCTCGGCTTCGAGATCGACTCGACGACATGCACTCTGAGACTACCAGCCTCAAAGATCACAGCCATTCGCAAGGAGATTCGCAGGGTTCTCCGTCTCGACTCCATTCCACTACGCAACCTGGACAGGATTGTAGGTCTCCTCTCTGCTCCCATTCAAGCCATATTTCCAGGTCCCCTCCACTACAGGGCCATGCAACGTCTCAAGGCGAAATACCTACGCCACAGACCTACTTACGACCAACCCGTCCCGGTGACGACGGAGGTTCGCGAAGAACTATCATGGTGGCTGGACAGCATGCAAGCCTGGAACGGCAAGGCCATATTCGGAGACACTCCAGACTTCGTATTGGAATCAGACGCCAGCCTGTGGGGATGGGGTGCCACCAACGGAACCATCTCCACGGGAGGAACATGGACGGCACAGGAGCTCTCCATGCACATCAATTGTCTCGAACTCCTGGCGGGATCCTTTGCGACCCGCAGCCTGGCCCGGGAAAGATCCAACTGCTGCATCCTCCTGCGCATGGACAATGTCTCCGCAGTCCAGTACATCAACCATCTGGGAGGCGCTCGCTCACGCCTACTGTCGGATATCACAAGGGACATCTTCGACTATTGCCCCTCGCAACAATCACCAGACCCCGGAGTTCTTCAGCTGGCTCCCGGACCCGGAGAGCAAGGCGACAGACACATTTCTCCAACAATGGCCGACGACAGGAGCCTACGCCTTTCCCCCATTCTCCATGATTGCGAGAACACTACACCAGATGCGGACGCAACAGATCAAACTGGTTGTCATAACGCCCTTGTGGCAGAACCAACCATGGTTCCCGGACCTCCTGGCCTCCTCCTACAGGGACCCTCTCCTCCTTCCATCCTTCCCGGACCTGCTCACGGATCCCAAAGGGTATCTCCACCCACTACTCCTGGAAGACCGGCTACCCCTGGTGGCTTGGTCTCTTTCCGGGGTTCCTGGCGAGTCAGCGGACTATCGCAGACTGCTAGGGACCTCTTATGGGACTCATGGGCCCCGGGAACTAGACGCTGTTACCTTTCAGCTTGGGCCTCCGGGTCTACTTGGTGCATGGAACGGGACTCCGATCCCTTTACTGCACCTATTCCCATGATTCTTAATTTTCTTTCCTCCTTGTTTTCATCTGGCCGCTCTTACCGTTCGGTCAACGTCGTTTGCTCCGCGATTTCAGCGGCTCACACCCCGTCGGGGATCTCCCGGTCGGCAAAGACCCTCTGGTCTGCCGTCTACTCCGTGGTATGCGGCTCCGCCGCCCCCCGGCCCCCAGATACCCTCACCTATGGGATGTGGGACTGGTTCTCCGTTTTTTCAGGGATTGGCTTCCGAATGACCGCCTCTCCCTACGCCAACTATCCGCTAAGTGCGCTTTCTCCTTTGTCTAGTATCTTTCCGACGGGTTTCGGATGTTAGGGCCTTCGACGTGGACGCTTTCGAGGTGGCCCCGGAAGGGGTCACGTTCCACATTTCCCGCCGCACTAGGTCGGGTTCGACTTCGGTCTTCTACCCCTTTTTCCCCCGACGACCCGCAACTCTGTGTCGTGTCCACCCTTCGCAGGTATGTTTCCGTTACCTCCTCACTCCGATCCTCTACGTCGGGCCAACTCCTAGTCTCCTACGTGCGCCCTCACGCCCCAGTCTCGGTCACCACACTGGCCCGATGAATCCGCTGGATCCTTTCCCTCGCAGGTATAGATCCCGCGTTCGGCGCCCACTCCGTTCGCGGTGCGGCGGCTTCATCAGCCTTCCTGGCAGGGGCGTCCCTCTCGGATATTCTCCGAACGGCGGACTGGTCTAGGGAATCCACTTTCCGTACATTTTATTTTCGCACTCCCCCTTCTGCTGGGATGTCACTTCTTCAGCGTTAAAATTGCAAAATAGGAAGCCTCCTGTCATGTTATAAAATTGAAGATTATGCTAGCTTTAGTGTACTAATAATCTTAATTTTAATAAGGACAGGAGGCGAGTATTTTCCCTCCCTTTTGTTCCCTACCCTGACTCCTCGGGGGAGTGGATCTTAAGGTGATGGATTTTGGGATTCATATTAGTAGTTCCACTATCTTCTGGACATATTCGGTATCCCTTCCATCTCTATCCCCAGTGTTTCCACCTAGACGGACAGTTTAGTTGTACAACATGCTTACACCTAACACATATTTAGCCTATGGCCAGCTTACAATCTGTCTGTACTGTTTAATTTACACCATTCTGTTAAAGCCCACAGGCATGAACAGTTACGGTTCAGTACCTAACCGATTTTATACTCTCCTTTCAGTGTAACCCTCTTCAGGACCTCCACTGGTCGATGGTTCGTTAACCTCACAACTCCGTAAGATGGGATGACGGCTTCGTTTGGTCTTTCCTCCTATCTCGTTACCAGGAGTCTCCTCAAGTTCCGCTCGCCAGAGACCGCAGTTACCGTTTCGTTGAGTTTCTGGATGTTCGAGCTCTATCTGGACTTGGATGTCGCTTTAAGAAAGAGGAAGTGTACAGGCAGCATGACCCTTATATACTATGCTGCTCAGTGATTTATTTGTTACTCTTTATGTTTTTCTTTACTGCTGTGGAGTTTAGTAAAGAGAGTTAATGCAAAATACTCGCCTCCTGTCCTTATTAAAATTAAGATTATTAGTACACTAAAGCTAGCATAATCTTCAATTTACAAATCCCTTCCTGTACCCGTGCAATGTCCAGCAACCCATCCAAGAAACGTGTCCATGTGGCATGCTGCCTATAACAACAACTAAGCACTGGACACATTGGGAGGGGTTGTGCCAATCCACTAAGATTGTGGCAGACATGCCAACTCCATAGGAAGTTCTAGCTAGTCTTTGTTACTCTGGACTTAAGAAGAGCATTGATATAAGTGCAGATGTAGCATCAACGACACCAAAAACATAAGGGATTAACAGATTTCCCTGAAGCCATATATGTTACCTTATTTTCCAAAGCCACTGAGGTGTGAATAAAAGTTTAATTACAGCTTCTGTAGCTTGTCCTATGACTTATCTAACAGCCGAGGAAGAGCCACATTAACCCCCTTGATGTCTTGATACCAGGATGCTGGCAACATCTTGCAGAGCAAAAAGACTGTGAGGCCACTTGTCATTAAAAGGTTAAGAGCTTGAGGGCTAATTGCTGTTTGGATCGCCTAATCTTTATCACATTTTATGGACAATTAAATATCAAAGAGAACTTTCTTCTTATCCTCTGAAATATTACATGTCGATTTCTTTTTTTTGTGTGTGTTTTAAAATAAAAAAAAGGGGAATAAAAAAATACTTTAGGGTAATATTATAGGCTTAAAAACATACCTCTGCTGTACTATAATTTGATAGGCTGTGCGGAAGCAAAGTCTTACAGACAGCAATTAAGGCTAAGACGTAGAAGTTCTTTCATCTTCAGCTGAACGTGGCTACATTTGAAAAGGTTTGTTCCATAGAGTATTCGTGTATTCAGAGGACCACGGATCAAACTCAAAAGCACAGCTGTCCCGATAAGAATGTTAGATTCCTCTTGTTATTTGCTCACATATATGTTCTATGTCTACATCCAAGGATAATATGCTAATGCCGACATATGACATGGAAGTACTAGACCATGTAATAATGCATGTTTAAATGATTGTTGACAGTACTAAATACACCAATTTCAACAATTAAAACAAAGAACTTGTCTGGGCTCTCTGATTGAACAGGGATATAGACTCAAATGTGCTTTCCAAAAAGATACATTTCTGTATTAAATCAAATGCAATTTGGCACAGTGCATACGAGGAGGGCATTAAAGGAAAAATGCCAACGTGTTTCATGCCAATAAGGCTGTGCCTTATAGACGTTGGCTTTTTTTCCCATTTGGTGCCTTCCGCATTCTATGCATTGTCCCATATTGTATTTGATTTTATGTATGTATTTTTTATTTTTTTTTAAAGCAATTTACTTGTTTGGAAAGCATGACTGAGTCTACATCATTGCTCCCATTAGGAAATCCAGAAAAGCTCTTTGCTTTGTTTGTTGAACCTAGAGGTGAGGGACTCTCATGGACGGTAAGATATCAGTTTTCAGTTTTCTATTTGATTTAGCCGCATGTTGAATCAGCGGTCTCTCTTTTATTTTGTATTCTAGACACAACAAGTCCTAAATGTTACATCTTCTATGGAGTTTTTCTTTTCATCTTTTACACTGAAACCACAAGCTTAAATGTGTTCTACAAATGGTGCAATGGAATAACCACACTCTTGCTATAAAATATAGCACAGATAAAGGTGCAGGCACTCCAAGCACTATAACAGTCGTAGTCACTATACAGAAATGATTCTTTGGCTGTTGTACTTTGAGTTTTCTGCCTGCATTGTTCATTCAAAATATCTTGGAGGGCAATTAAGCTGTAAGTGCTGGGGGCCGGTTAGCCTGTGCTTGCAAGCCTTCACTGTTTTTTAAGGTTAGATGGAGTCCGGCCATGCAGTTCATTTTGTTTTATTGGCACCCAGAGCTTCACTGCAACATAGCCACAACAATGAGCTGTCGAGGTTAAAGGACCACTCTAGGCACCCAGACCACTTCAGCTTAATGAAGTGGTCTGGGTGCCAGGTCCAGCTAGGGTTAACCCATTTTTTCATAAACATAGCAGTTTCAGAGAAACTGCTATGTTTATGAATGGGTTAAGCCTTCCCCCTAATCCTCTAGTGGCTGTCTCATTGACACTATAGTGGTCCTTTAATGTGTATAAAGAAGGCACTGTCTGTTTCTATATGGAATGCCATCAAGAGACAATACAGTGAAATAATGCAAAAACAATAAAACGCAAAATAAAACAAACTATTTGAAGTTTCTGTATAGGCAGCAAAAATCCCAGGATTCTGCAAGAATTCCTCAAGAAAGTAATTCAGCTAATAATGCTTGCTTAACTTTCTATGACCAATACTTTACGGATACAGCAGGCCTATGAAAGAAAAGCTATTTATTCTTAAAAATGAATAACCGTAACTTAACCTACACATTGCTCCTACCATGAAGGCCAACCGTGATGGATGACATTGATATTGTGTACCATCTAGTGATATAATGTCAAGCACACATGCATGTAAATATACCGTGGCAGCTCCCAAATATTCGCCTTTTCACTATTTCAATAAATAGATCAATCTGTGTGCAGCATGAGTGTGCTCTCAAATATTTTAGAAATATACTCTCCTTTATTCCGATATGTTTGTAGAATATGAGTATTCTTGTATTTCCAATGCACTTGGCACAATGAGATGGCATTCACTACAGCACCCATAACAAACTTCGGCAAGTTAGAAAACTGAATCTACAGATTTGTTGGCAATTTTTATTATACCTTGTATCTTACGGCTTTACATAAAAGAGTGTTCATACATGGATTAATGACAAAGCCACTTCAGCTGGAATACATCCATTACATAAGAAAAAAATATTTTTTTTACTTCTAAATAGATTGATTTTATTAAAAAGGCCTGCGGTCTCCAAATTGGTGACCAGCTTACCTCATCTCACCAAACACTGTTTACTACGGTGGGGTGAAGTGTGCCGCAGTGCTTCCTTAAGCAGAGCCAACTTCCCGCAATGCCCTGTGCATGCATGTCCGTGACACTGCATACTTGCGGAACGTGCATGGAATCAAAGGAAGCATCATCAGGGCAAATCATTACTTGCATTGTATGCCAGGCTGTGCAATATTAATAGAAACCAAAAGACAAACTAATAACTAACCTTTACCTGTTAATTACAATGTGCCATTACTTACAAAGTGATAGTTTCTCTTTAAATGGTTTATGGTCATTGACAGACACTTGCAGGTGTACAAACTAAATTTGACTAAAAACCATTTCCCCCACACATCAATCTGTGACTAGAACCTGTTCACACCAGCCAACACATGGTCTATGCCCAGCAGCTACCTAGAAGCAGTAATAATCCAATTCATTTACATTAATACAAAAGATAATGAGCACTTCGTATTAAGTCATAATAGCAGAGAGCAGAATAAAAGACACATTCATACTTTGCATTTAGCATGTCAGAATCTTGTTGTCACTAAACAAGAAAAAGGTCATGAAGTGATTTACCTTTAGCTGAGGGGTGGGGTTATTACAGGTGTAATTGCAATTATGCAATATGACAATGTCACAGCAGGAAGGAGAGAATGAAATAGCATGATTGGTATTAATTCAATATACAAGACATCAAAGGCCACGATTACACAGGGGACTCACAGATAAATGGTCAGCAAGGTTTAATCACAGCCTGAGACCCCACTGGGGGTCTACATAACTAAACCAAAAAAAACTAAATGAGAGAATGAGGATGAGGATATGCGAGTTCTGAAGAGCATGTAGGGAACAAAAACCACTTTATATCACTGACTGATTGGGTTTTATCAACAACCAACCTTACATATAAAACGGTGATCTGACGTTATTATCCTTGATGCACTCTCCTAATAAATAAAAATTCACCATAAAAAATAAATAAGTAAATCTGATAGTACACAATCTTTAGGGAGGGCGGCATACATTAACATGTGTGAAAAGAGTACACGGTGTGTTATGGAAACATTTTAACGTTTAAGCACTAAATGAGGTTTAGGCGACCTTTGACACTCCAGAAGTTGTAGACTACCTATCCCCTGATGCTTTGATAGCATTACAGCTGTAAGAGCATCATGGGAGATGTAGTCTACAACATCTAGAGTCCCAATGGTTGCTTACACCTGCACTAAACATGAATGATGGTAACCAGAAAAACGAAGAGCAAAATTCAGGCTGAAATGCTCAATATAACGGTATTGCGGTGACGGAGAATTTATTTCCAAACTGGTTACTTTAGCCTAAATTTTGTAAATCAGTTTTTAATTCACTACAGCTCTATGTTTATCAAATAAACTTGTGTGAATCTGTGTTTTTTTCCTGAAGGATACAAGACCAGATATAAATTGATAACACCCGTCCTAGTTATATCCAACATCACGTTTTACCATAGACTGTGAAATCATCCTACATTGTGCCATTGTTGTATGCGCAAATTCTGCACAGACTTATTACAGAATTTATTTTACTTTACTTTTGACTTTAGTGTTTTGGGAAGTATTCCAACAAAAGCTGTGCCATTCTTTCTGTAAATAAATGGGGGAGTCACACTACTCGGCCCTCTATTAGAGCACTTTACTCGCTATTGAGGGTCATCATATGTGTGCACACAAAATTTAAGACAGGTCATGTTGTTTACAAACCCCTTTGGTGGCACTATTGCTACATTTAAAAAGGTGAAACGACATATCAAGGTGACTTACGTAAGTAACACAACAGACCATTTTTAAACTTTGCTGATGATAGTTGGATGGCTTAATACAATCAGACAGCAGGTTAAAAACAGCTTGGGTTACAATTACTGCTCATGCAAATCCAGTACCAAGACATCGCAATTTCACTGTGATCATTTTTCACAGCTCCTGCCCCAGAAAGGACAGGAGGTCATATATTAGGTCAGGTGTTTGCTCCCTGAGGGTGTTAAAGGGACAGAAGGTGCGTGAAGAACTGGAGATTATACATATGTTCAGTGACTCGTCAGCTTCAAAACATATGGAGCCATCTAGGCTCTATTATATCAGAACATTCTCTTGAAATGGACTGTATGTAACTTCTAATCTTTGTTAAATCCCAACACATTAATTCTATTGTCCATACTAGGCTTTCTTGGCTTAAACACTTCGGGAGGTTGGGGAATTTATAAAAGTTTGACAATACTAGTGTACCAATCACCATGGAAACCAATGGGTTGAACAGCAATATTTCAATCCTTTCAACTGTGATTTGCCCACAATTATAATATTGCCCTTCATATTTTAACATTTCCCCTATGGTTCAAAACAACAGTCTTTGTTTATTTTCAACTCACAAATTTATGGGCGGAATGCAAGAAATCACTATTTTCCCTACTACTAAATAACTTAACAAATGTACTTTGATTTAAAGAAAAGGAGCTACACATGCTCCTTGCACAGGTTAAGGTGTCAGCTATGACGGTTTCCCTTCATGAACAGCATCTGCAGAGATTATTAACCCCTTAGTGACCAGACCGTTTTAAAATTTTCTTACCGTTAAGGACCAGGGCTGTTTTTACATTTCTGCGGTGTTTGTGTTTAGCTGTAATTTTCCTCTTACTCATTTACTGTACCCACACATATTATATACAATTTTTCTCGCCAATAAATGATCTTTCTAGAGATACTATTATTTTCATCATATCATATAATTTACTATCAAATAACAATAATTATAAAATATGATGAAAAAAACCAAAATAAACAAACATCTTTTCTAACTTTGACTCCCAAACACTTCTACAACCGCCAAAGAAACACCTGTGCTAAAGAGTTTCTAAATTTTGTCCTGAGTTTAGAAATACCCAATGTTAACATGCTCTAGGCTCTTTTTGCAAGTTATAGGGTAATAAGTACAAGTAGCACTTTGCTATTTCCAAACCATTTCCCCCCCAAATTAACGAGTTACATTGTAACACTGATATCTGTCAGGAATCCCAGAATAACCCTTAAAGGGACACTATAGTTACCAGAACAACTACAGCATAATGTAGTTTCTCTGGTGAGTATAATAGCTCCCTTCAGGCATTTTCATGTAAACATTGCCTTTTCGGAGGGGCCACTGGAGAGGCTTCCTGGCTCAGTGCTGCACAATAAGCAGCCCTGCCGTTCCGTGTCCGCATGAAATTCAAAGATTCAATGCATCTCTATGAGGAGGTCCTGATTGGCCAAAACGTCATTTGGCCCCGCGCCGATTTGAGCCAATCCAATGCTTTTCCCAATCGGCCATTTTGATGATGTCACACACGTGGCGCTGGAAATAAGGTGAGTTTTGAACTTTTATAGGGGGGGCAAGCCACCTAAATAGTGGGTTTGGCACTCTAGAGTCAGGAATACAGGTTTGTGTTCCTGACCATATAGTGATCCTCTTTTTAACCACCTATATATTTTTTAAAAAAAGAAGACAACGTAAGGTATTAAACTTGGGGTATTTGACTCTTCATGCAACCATTTTACCACCAATCTATGCCAAATTTAAAAAAAAAAAAATTAAATAGTTTGACACACATAGCAATTTAAGAATACACGTACTAACAACTTTAAAGGTTACTGCCAAAAAATACCCCAATAGGTGTTGAGCAACATCTCCCCACATTGAAATCTGCCAGATTTGGTTTGCTGGGCCTTTTATGAAAATAAACCCCATCATGGCATACCATTTGTAAAAGTGGACAACCCAGGGGACGGGGCCTGGCGTCCAACATGTTAGGACGTGTCTCAGTAGCTCCCACAGGACTAACTACTTTAAGCTATTTATGGCTAAAACTCCAACACTTGGATAATTTAAGCTAACTGGTGGTGACTACATAGCCCAACGAATCGTATTGAGCCCAATCCAAGGTGCTCTGTGCCAAATCTGACCTGTCCGAGGCCTACAAAGGCGCGCACGCGCCGGAGGTTGGTGGAAACGGCCAATCTGCCGACACTGCGCGCACCTCTTATCTAACATTTAGCATGTCAGAATCTTGTTTTCACAAAATAAAAAAGGTCATAAAGTGATTTACCTTTAGTTGAGGGGTGGGGTTATTACAGGTGTAAGTGCAAAGATGCACTTATGCATACACAATGTCACAGCACGAAGGATGGAATGAAATAGCATGATTGGTATTAATTCAATATACAAGACATCAAAGTACATGATTACACAGGGGACTCACAGATAAATGGTCAGCAATGTATAATCACAGCCTGAGACCCCGCTGGGGGGTCTACATAACAAAAAAACCTAAATGAGAGAATGAGGATGAGGATATGCAAGTTCTAAGAGCATGTAGGTAACAAAAACACTTTATATCATTGACGGATTGGGATTTATCAACAACCAATCTTACATATAAAAATTTGATCTGCCTTTTTATTATCATTGATAATAATCACTCTCTCCTAATAAATAAAAATTCACCATAAAAACAGATCTGATAGTACACAACCATTAGGGAGGGCAGCTTACATTAACGTGTTAAAAGAGTACACAGTGTGTTATGGAAACATTTTAACGTTTATGCACTAAATGAGGTTAAGGCGACCTTCGACACTCCAGAAGTTGTAAACTACATATCCCCCGATGCTTTGCTAGCATTACAGCTATAAGAGCATCATGGGAGAAGTAGGCTACATCATCTAGAGTCCCAATGGTTGCTTACACCTGCACTAAACATGAATGATGGTGACCAGAAAAACGAACAGCAAAATTCAACGCTCAATATAACGGTATTGCGGTGACAGAGAATCAGCAATGGGCAAGCGCCCAGTAACCCCCCCCTCATTGGAGTAGTGGGGGTCTCCCAGTCCCCACTGCACTAGGTGGACCTCACACAGAACGCTAGAAGCCATAAGCACCGCATAACGCAAACCTCGTGGCGCAACCAAGATTCGGTACAACGCCATCTGCCACAGATTCTGGCACCGCATCGCTTAACGAGCTACTCCACACCCTCCTACTGCTGCAGAGCTACTGCAAGCCGCAGACACAACACCTGTTTACCTCTCGGGTCGGGGGCCCATATAGAGAAGCTACCAGTTCAAAGCTCTCACACTCATGGGGATACCCAGCATGCGGAGACCCCAGGAACCCGTGAACAACCTACTCAGAGTGTGGGGATCCGTGGACATAAGGAGCTGGCACCCTCAAAGGCGAACGCACGAACCTGACCACCCGCTCACAAGCATGCATACAGAGCCTAAATCTTCCCATTAAGCAGAGAAGCAGCACTCTCTGTATTGAGAGGATCCTTCCTCGTCATCCCGACTGGCCCAGTCCCTGGGACAGCGGTCCCGATGTGCCCGTACGCTTGTCAGTCCTGTGCTTCCCGTTATGGGCATAGGCTGACTGTGGGCTTGCTTGACAGGACAGCCGAGGGCCTCATGATGCAGTGTCCAGCAAAGTGGGCCGGGCAGGGTCATACCTCTCTTAAAGCTGCTGATGGACTTAAGCACCTGCTAGCGGCCTCCCATCCCTGGGCATAGGCTGAACTGACCTACACATGCACTGTAAGTCCCGCTCACACAGCAATTAGGATACAGGGCTTATAGACCAACAGCATATATATGCTCTCTTACATTACAGATAGAAATGTTAACCTTTTATTTTGTCTTATGTCTTAGTTTAACCTTGCTCTGCTAGGCTTAAGTAAGGCTTTCTCATGTAGATCTTGACAAGTGTTATCCCATTCTTTAACACAGCTTACTGCCAAATCGGCTTGGCGATTGCTTTAACTCACCCAGTGATACAACCTCTTGTACTCACTCACAGCTCTCTTACCAATATAACTGCTAGGCTGTTCTATAACATAGTAGCTGTAACCTACTCTTGACTAATCTATCCTACTTCAACAGGTATACTGAATATAGCCAATTTCAAGTGCAGGATTCGGTCTTATGCCTACTAACGTATATACTAGAAATCAAAGCCTGTCCGTGCATACCCTGCAGAGTAATCGAGTATGTCTTCGAGCTACTTTTAGAGGTCTGACACTTCTTGTTTACGTCCCATTTATCTTACACTTTAGAATCTGTCTGATACTTCTTGTTTTAAAAATCATTTATCTTACTTAAATTTTTTTTTTATTTTTTTTTTAAAGTGCTAAGTATTTACATGCCATGCTAATGTAACAATATGTATGATACGGAATGCTTGTTAATGCAGTCGTGGCACTACAAGCCTGGTTGTAATCACCTGCACTGCAAAAATAAAGAATTGAGAAGTAGACAACTCACAGTATTCAAAATAGGATATGTCCAGTTTTTTTTAGTAGCCACTAAATCACAAACCCTGGCCAAAATTAGCGTTTATTTTATTTTATTTTTTTTTTTACACAAATTGCCATTTCACCGATGATATCAGTATAATACATTTTACTGCTCTAAAACACTCGTACTTGTAAGACATTACTCTACACAAATAGAACAGTACCCGTCAATTACAGGTTTTATGGTGATTTGGAAAGTTACAGGGTCAAACATAAGATTTGCCAATTTCAGTTTTTGTAAATTGCGTTTTGCCTTTGGGACGGTATCGCAGCCCAATTTAACCCCACCATGTCATACCAATTGAAAAAGTAGACAACGGAGGGTATTCAAAATGGGTATGTCCAGTTTTTTGTAGTAGCCACTTTGTTAGCATTCATATTTGTTTTTTTGCATTTCATTTTTTTTTTTTTTTTTTTTTTT